CCTGATCACTCTCCGCGCCTCTTCCCCAAGGGGCGGGTTGCGCGTGGGGGGAGACAGCACTAGCTAATCGGGACATGCCAATGGCGAAGCCAGAAGAAGTCCGAGAGCACACTTTTCAACAGCAAGTGCCATGGGGACTCCACGGAGTGTTCTCAGAGAAGAAGCGAGCGAACACCGATGACTTCGCTCGGCTGCAAAAGAATAAAACCTCCCAAGACTTTGCCGCACGGAGTGTGGGGGATGGAGGGCGGGCAGCTTTGAGCCACCACAGCACCACGGATTATATATGATCAAGAGGCTCCGTTACAGGAAAATGAGTCGGACGACAAAACATCCCTGATCACTCTCCGCGCCTCTTCCCCAAGGGGCGGGTTGCGCGTGGGGGGAGACAGCACTAGCTAATCGGGACATGCCAATGGCGAAGCCAGAAGAAGTCCGAGAGCACACTTTTCAACAGCAAGTGCCATGGGGACTCCACGGAGTGTTCTCAGAGAAGAAGCGAGCGAACACCGATGACTTCGCTCGGCTGCAAAAGAATAAAACCTCCCAAGACTTTGCCACACGACCCATACCCATACTTATGTCCTTAGGGGGGGCGGGAGGGTCTTCATTATTGCCGACTCTATCTAATTGAACGTGCTACAAGGGCAACACGGCGCAACAGGGAAAGGACTGCTCGATCTGTGAGCTGGGATGCCTGTGCACGCTGCTGCCTCGAGAGCTTTGCCGTCTGCCGAAGGAGGGAGCCGTGCTTCTCATAAACGCGGACACTCGACGCAGCGCGCCACCTGCCGCGCGCTTGAATTGCACGGATGTCGCGAAGCGAGTGGAGGGCGTCATGAGACGGGCCCCCGTGTCTCAGCTGGCGGGGCACACTCAACAGGTCGTGCACCCCGACGGCGAGAGCCGCTTCTCTGAGCATCTTCCCATACGTTTGGAGCGTGAGAGGGGCGAAGAGGAGAGGAGAGGGAGGCGACAAAGAACGAGAGCGAGCCTGAAGGGCGAGCAAAAATCCTGGGATCATGCGGCGCACGTCGGCCGAAGAGCCGGCGACGACGGCGCAGTCGAAGCCCCGATTCTTGGCGGGCTTCGAGTCGTCGCCACCGAGGGGGGGGATGACTGCAGCGACGTCCTGTCGGCCAGCTCCACCGACGATGCGCCTGTCGCCCACGATGTGTGAGCCCTCGAGCGCGAGCACCTCGCTCGGCCTCAAGTACATGTCGAACTGCACGAGGATGGCGAGGGCCACCAAGGCCTGCAGCAGAGAGCCCTCCGCCAGGCGTTGGACGACCAGGCGGACGGCGCCCCAGGGCGGCGGCTGCCGCGCCACAGGCGGCTGCTTCGCAGCCCAGCCGTCCAGCGCGACTTCTGGAAGTTCGGACGCCCAGCCGACCATCCGCGTGCCTTGCAGAGCCCGTAGAGGGCGATCTTGGCAATGCACAGAGGCTCCCCAGCGAAGAAGAGCGTCTCACAGAAGAGGTTCACGGTGTCATCCGCGACGCCCACGCTGTCCAGGCTGAGCCCGGCCCGAGCTGCGAAGTCTTCGAGCTCGGCGACGGCGCTGGAGTAGGCGTCACGAGTGGCAGGACGTAGGCGACCGAGGCGGAGGTACTCGCCCGGCGCCCAGTCGCGGCCAGCCAGGGCGGCGTCGGCCCGGGCGGCTGCGGCCGCGCGGCGCCTTCCTGGCCGCGGCCTCAGCCCGAGGCACACGCAGCGGCCGGCGGCGGCCCTCAGCCCGGTCAGGAGTCGGCCCCGCAGGGGCGGAGTCCGACGGGCCAGCCCGCGGGCGCCACGCGCTCGGCCTCGACGCCCGGGCCCCCGCGACCCCGCGGGCGGCCTTCGGCGGGCGGGGCGGCGCGGCCGCGTCAGCGGGCCCGCGGCCTCGGGTCGAGGGCACTCGGCCACGACTCGCGCCAGGGGAGCCGGAAGCGCCGCGGGCAGAGCGGGGCACTGGACCTGGTTGGCTGGGGCGTGCCTGTCGCGCTCGCCATTGCGTGATCCCAGCGCGCCCAGCCTGTCCCGTCGGTCCGGCCCCGCGCAGCGCTCCCGGCATCACGCGCCGCGACCTGCACCAGCGCTCGGCACCAGGCCGGGAGGTAGGCGCCAGCCAGCGTCGTACGCCACAGCCAGCCCCGCGCGGGGTGCCGGACCTTGCCCTGCAGCTCGATCCGGTGCCGCCCGTCGCAGGTGCAGAGCAGGGCCAGGTCCCCCAGGCCGCCGAACGACCCGGCCAGCGCGCCCGGCTTCTTGAAGGGCGCACCGAACCTGCAGCTGTCGAAGACGACCTTGGGCCAGCGCAGCCGCCGCAGCTCCCGCGCGAGGGGCGGATGCCGCCACACGCGGCTGTCTCGCGGGTTCTCGAAGGTGACGTGCACGCCCAGCTGCCGACAGAGCCGCAGCACACGCCGAGTGAAGTCCACAAGGAGGCGATCCGCGGGCCCCGGCTCGCGCACGCCCCCGACGGGCACCCAGCGGGTGCAGGGGGGCCCGAGGTGGACCCACCAGACCAGCCCGCGCTTGAGCCAAGACTCGACAAGACGTCGGAGCCCTGGGCGAGCCAAGTCACAATGAGGCCCACGCCGCACGTCGATCGGAGCGAAGCACCTGAACCCGGCCTCGTGGACGGCCCCAGTGAGGCGGGCACAGCCCGAGAAGATCTCCAGAAACCCCCGTCTCGGACTGGCGTGCCTCCTCGGGCCCCTCGAACTGCGATCCGAACGGCAGCAAGCGGCGTCAGACGGCGGCAGGGTCGGGGATGGGCGGCCACTGGCATCCTCTCGTCGCGGTAACGGCAGGTGGTCCAGGTTCGCGCGGCCCCGAGCTGAAGGCCAACGGTGGAGCAGCCCAGCACTCGGCGGGCCAGCGCCGCGAGCCCATCCAGCGGCGGCCCCTCCCCGATAGGCTGCAGCAGCGACGGATGGTCGTTAGGTCGAACAGCAGCAGCGCTCTCTCGATGATGGTGAAGCGGGACGGATGGTGGACGAGGATGGGAAAGGGGATGTACATCTCTCCGTCTGCTGAATGGATAGCTGCCCGCTGGTACGTGCAGGCGAGGCCGCGAGTCGCGGCTCGGCAGCGAGCGCTCAGAGTCCGCCGCTGGGCAGACCGTCCCACTGACCACGAATGTTGACAAGACTGGGCCAGCTGCCGACGTCGGAGCTGCCAGGACCAGCGAAGTCCGAGAGCCTGGCGTCGGCGGCAGCAGTGGCCCGCGGCCGCGGTAGCGGCCGGCCCGCAGCTCTCCTCGGTCCGCGGCACGGCTCCCCACGTCGGCCACGTTGACGATCCGTTGGGCAA